AGGGAGGCGGTGGCCGCCTGGGAGCTCGTCGTCCGCGTCCAGGAGCGCCGAGGTGGGTGTTAGGCAAAGTCTTAGACGGAGTAGTGGTCTGGTCCCATCGGGGAGTCCGAGGACAGTTTGTCTCCAGGTGACTGCAGACAAAGCACCTAAGGGTGGTTTAGCATCAGGTGTCATATGCAGTGTTGCGGAATGTACTTTTGGTCTTTTAAATCTGTAAACTATTAGCATAAAAAACACCAGAAGTGACAAGAGGCACTATGTAGCTTAGGAAAAGTGGACTGTACAGCTGTGTGAAAATGCTTGGAGCAGTGAGGTGTTTAGCAGAATTTAAGTGTTTCACCGGTTAGAATTCTTAGTTGTTAGTGAGTGGTCAAGACACAGTACAGGTGTTTGTTATTAAAATATTCTCTATAGCCCTCATCCTGTAAGTGCCTAATTTGCAGTATACAGCTGAAGCCATTGAGTTTTGAGTCATTATTAAAGTTGAGTGTGTTTGACTCACAAGCATGGCGTGGGGTTTTGCAGGACTGGAGCCCTTGTGTTTAGGTAGTTGTTTTTAAAAATACCTCAGGAGTTCAATGTACACAATTAAAATGGCATGTCTGTGACTTATACTGTCATTTTTCACAAGCTTTTACCAAATAGAGTAGCTAATTTCATTTGCTGATTACATATATTGCTTTTTAAAATTCTCTTTTCCTTTTAAATTGTGATGTTGGTTAATATTTTTCACCTATGAAAATACAGATTAGTTTAAGCATATTTTTAATTTATGAATGGTGGATATCTCTGCCCATTCACCGTGTCGCTTTTTTAATTTTTATGTTACTTGCGATTGTAACAAGGTTGCGGAGATTGCCCAGAACGAGTGTTCTGGAGAAAATCTTATCAGAAGACATGAGTTGGTTGGCCTGATTTCATCTTGGAGAGGTTCAGGAAGGGTTTGGCTCGATGAGACTTTTAGTGCTTGTGAGAGCGATGAAGTGCTCGGCAGTGCAGCTGCTCAGGGTGATTTCCCTCAGCCACAGAGCAGCGCGGGCGGGAGAGATGAAAGCTTCCCACGCGATTGCTCTCCCTTATCTCGCTGCCTTTGGCTGGGGGCAGCCCATAGGAGAGAGGCAGTTTATTCCTCGGTGCCTGGCAATCCCCGAGGATGCCTGTAGGGCTCTAATTAGCGCCGGCAGTTTCGGTGACACGGATCCTTCCCTTGTGAAGCGAGGCTACCCCAGCAGCTCCTTTCGCTCGGGTCCTGAGGAGCCGCTCTCAGATCCTCCTCGCCTCCTCCCTGGGGTTTTGTCGTGCCTGTCGCTGTCGCGTGTTGGTGTCAGTCACTCGCACTGGCTTTGTGCTGTGTTCCAGCCTGAGCTCTGGCTGCAGACCAAGAGCTTGACAGAGCAATTTCCAAACCGCAGCATTTTGTGTGTCCTAGCCCCGCTAGTCCCTCTTGAGCACGGCCGCCTGCCGAGGGGAATGTCATCGCTCCGAGGCAGTGACAGAAGCCATCGGGTCAATCCGAGCGTGCTGCTGGGCTGTTCACCACTCTGTCATGTAGCTCAAGTTCCAGCCCTTTGCTGGTGTCAGTTCCCTCTGTCAGGATCAAGAGGACGTTGTTGGAGCAGTGGTAGCTAACCTTGCCCCGGGTTACTGCTGGTCTCACCTTTGTGATCGGTTTTTCCCTTGCCTAGTCTGAATATACAAGTCTGAGATTGCCTGGAACAGAGCTTGTCATTCTGTCATGCCCGAGATTTCACTTCCAGGGCAATGCTTGCTAATGGAGTTTAAAAAAGTCTGAAACAAGTTTTAACTTAATTTCAGGGACTTTTTTTTTTAACCATCATGTACTTTCACTAAGTACTTTGGAGCATTTTCCACTAGCCTAATGTATTAGTGCTGGTAGTGTAAGTAAGAGAATGTAGTAGTAAGAGAATAAATCTCCAAGAAATATGTGACTAAGTTCTGACTCACGGATTAGTTAGACAGCAATTAATTGTGGACAGTCCAAATGCCATACTTTAGGTAGTGATGATTTTAAGTTTCTTGGTTTAAAGGAGACCAAATTCAAAATACATTTAATACTACTGTTTTAATCAGTTAAATGTTAATAAAGACTTGGTACTTTCAACTCTTTGCAGGATGATTTCATACTCATTTTATAGGAGTTAAAATACATTTAACATAGTCTTTGAAACAGATTTAGAAAGTTCTGTCTCTCTGCTTACTCACAGTCCAAACTGCAGTCATCTGTAAAAAGAAAACCAAAAGGAAGGGATAGAAGAAAGATGCCTACCATAATTATGTGTTTTTCTGAAATAGGTGCAGAATACTGCAAAAGCTCCAGGAGAAAACAGAGTATTTACAGAAGTGAACTTTCAGGATGAATTAAAGTGTGGAGATGGCCACACTGACTTTTGTTGTGCATAAAAGTGCAAGTTCAGGTTCTTTCTCCAGTTTATTTACTTTGCTTTTAGCATTTGTGGTCACTTATTTTACATTACACATAACCATAAACATTTCAGTAGCTATGGGTTTCTAGCATTAGAGCTTATGATATCAGGTGTCTATTTATTGTCAAGTGGTATAAAGTTCTATTAATTTCTTCAATTTTTTTTTTCACTTTCCATTCTTGCTGCTTGGTAACTGTGAACTGAAATGAACCAATAATTAATTCTGTCATTACTCTTTTCTTCAACCCAGGCAATGATGTTGAGGATAAGACAAGATGTTTAAATTAAATTTAAATAAGTTTAAATAAATTCTACTCTCTTTTCCATTTTTTAATGTAGTTTATTGGGGTTCATTTGTAATGTGCACTTCATTACTTACAGCAGCAAGAAGCATTGTGCCACAAGTGATCCTAATGTATCTCTGGGCACAACTGTAGTTTTGGTTTGGTTTTGTTTTTTTTTCTTTGTGTGATGGACCATTCTCAAATTACTATCAAGAGGATGGGTATATGGTAATAAAGCAACTTGAGCAGTTTATTCCTAGTTTGTGACAGCCCCCACTCTTTAGCTCATTAATGGGACTGTGTAGATGTCCTTTGCCTGAATTCAATTTTCTTCAAGTGGCATGTAACAGGCTGTATGTTTGTTTATTTTCCCCCTTTAGCTAAAAGAGATTTTGGAATATTTTTCCGTTTACTTCCTCTCAGTTCTGTCCTGGATAATCAGCACAGCAGTGTGTGCAGGGCTGGGGTTCCAGATGCAGCAGACCTTTAGTATCTCAATATCCAGGTATCTCCCACCTGTTGATGACAAGGAGGGGTTTTCTCTCCCTGAGTTGCATTTTATTGAAGGTATGAGCTAAGGGAGCTCACTCCCTTGGCCTGGCAGATGTAACACTCCTCACCAGTGTAACACACTCACTCTGCCTGGGTATCTCTTGGTAGACCACAGGCTTTGTGCTGGTGTATGTGTGCCCGTGTCAGGGCTAGATTTGAGGGGGTTTTGCAGTCTGAAGAACTTTTCAGCTTCCAGGGTAGAGGTTTTTTGGCAAAGCTGCAGTTGAGCTCTAAGATTGTGGTAGTGATGTGCACCAATTACTACCATAATTATTATCAATACCAGTGCATTACATGCTGAGGTTGCTTTGTGACCGGACATATTTTGGTTATCAATGTCATGGTTTTATTTTAATGTAGATGCCTGAAAACAATCCTTTTTTTATCTTTTGAAATAACAATTTGGTCTGTTTTACTGCTACAGTAAAATTAACTGCAATCTGTAGAGGAAATACTATGTTACTAGTTCTGCTTATTCATTGTGTGATTCATTCTCTCTTTTTTGATACATTGTAGATTTAGTTTTATCATACTTTTTGTTTTCTGGAGGCAGCAATTAGTCACTAAAAAGTAGCACCAGAAAAATTGGGTTTTTTTAATGGAATGGGTTTTGTTTGGGTTTTTTTTTTTCTTTTTTTGGATGTTTGGGGTTTTTTTTTTTTATGGAATGGGTTCTCCTGTGGCTGTGGAGGAGTTTCAGGGCCTGGACAAGAGAGGACATGGTATTTCAGCTTCTGGTGAGGTCTTACCCAACCTAAACTTGAGCAGTGCCAGGCTGGGATCACCCACAACCTCCCTGAGACACCTCTTCAAGTGTCTCAGCAGTCTCACAGTAAAAGATTTCTTCCTAACATCCTAACCTCAATTTCCCCTCTTCCAGTTTGTACCCATGACTCCTTTTGTTGTCACTGCACTTCCTGACAAAGGCTGTCCCTGTGGCTTCCCTGCAAGCTCCTTCAGATACTGGAAGGTGCTGTGAGGTTCTGCCTTGGCACTGGACAGAAAAATCAATCTAAAAGCTGAAAACACTTGAAATTGAAGAATGGCCTGACAATCTTTATGCTTTTTGTAATTAGCAAACATTTCAGCCAAAAGAAAATAAACCAAAACACAAACTTTACAACCTCAAACCAAAGGGAAACACCAGGAACACCCTATGCATTAGTTTGTGCCATGAAAGGCTAAAGAGAATGCCAGAATTTCAGGGCTTAACATTTTTTGGCATGTGGTCCTTGAGAAGTTTCCTGTGGTGACCCCACTGATCACTCAGCCCTGGGTTAAATTCTTCAGTTAACCTTGCCTGGAAGAACTGATGGTTATGCTCACATTTTTTAGTGGTATTTCAGGATTTTATGCCATTCAATTTATTGGGACACAGTTTACGCTTTGCAAATGCATAATGCTATTTTAAGTTTTTAACCCAGTGAGCAGAAGGTAAAATTTCTTAGACTGTCATACACATTAATATTTCAACATGGGGTAGCATTTAATTTGAGAAGGAGCCATTATTATTCCATTAGTGCTTGGGGGAAGTGCATTAAAGATCCCACCTCTCTAATCCTGCTGTCTCAAGCTCCCTTGACCTTACTTGATCCATGAGCTTTAGCTTTGTAATCTCCTGTCATTCATTTTTTCTCATCAGGGGATTCACTGAGGGTGATGTTTGACATGCCTTCCAACAGTTAACAGCATCTCTTGTATGTTAAATATATTTATCCTGTTTAAATCAACATAGAGAGTGGAGATCCCAATTTTGGTAATATTTTCACCTT